GAGAACCACTGCTCCATCCCTTTGCCAGCCATCAGGGCACAAAAACAACTTGCAGAAGCACTTGCATTCACATCCTACCTTTTCCGCGGGCTCCTGGGGAGGTGGCTGAGCTGGTCCCACTAGTACCAGCCTCCATTTATAAAGGACGTGTGGGGCCCAGGAGGAGAGCTTACCACATCTTGATCAAAGCACAAAAGTGGCGAAGGCCCTGCCCCAAGTCTGCCCTCCTGGGGATGGCCGACAGCAAAGGCCGCCTGCTCTGAGAAGCTGGGTGGTATTGGAGGCGTTAGCAGTGGTGGCAGAGGCTCCCTGGCAGCCGTGGGAGCAGATCTGGCAGGGCCGGGGGCAGAGAGCAGGTCTATGAGAAGATTCTGGTCCCTCAAGGGCCCCTCTGGCCCCCCCTTCATCTGCACACTGGGCGGCGCTAGCTCAGATCAACTCAGAGCCAAGCAACCCAGCCTTAACCCCCACTCTGCCACTTTGCAGGAGCCTCAATTCACACCCCTCTGCATGCCACCTACCCCCTTCAGTCCTGGAGTCTGCCAAATGGGTTGCTTAGGACAAAGCCTCTTTACACATCCATCTGTGACACCAACTAGGGGCAGGGCCTGAGCCACGGGCTGGGGACCTTTAGCTGGAAGGAGTGGTGAGGGTGGGAAGGAGTGGGAATGGGGGTGGGGATGCCAGGTCTCGGGTGCTGAAGGAGGCCTGCATCTTGCCTAGGAGACTCCACCTCGAGCCCCTCCCAGCGGCTCCTCCTCTCTCCACCCCCACAAGGTCACAACCAGTCTACTTGGGGAGAGGAAGGAAACCGGGCACAGTGGCAGATAAAACATCTGCTCGGAGACCCCGGGCAGCACAGCCGTCCTCCTAATACCTGCCTGGAGAGATTTTCCTGGCTTCTAGGGGGATGGCCGTCCTGGAGCTGGAAATCCACACCTGGGCCTGCTGGAACCAAAACTAAGTTCTGAGCTCCCTGGGCACTTTTGGCAGACAGACTGGGACACTGAGGTCCGAGGGACTCTCAGGACATCACTCCTGCAAGGTCTGTTTCCACAGAGAAAGGGATGAGGAGGATCTGGTATGGGCTATTCTCAAGCCTACTTCCATGGTCAGCGTGTGGCTGTGCACACAGTAGGCATGCGATGGCCACTGCTAGAGAGGAAAAGGCAAGTCCAGGCTATAGGGCCCAGCTCACCCCCCACCCTCTCCAGGCCCTACTCACAATGGGTTCTTCCGAGCCTTCCAGGACCAGCCACTGTTGTCCACCCAAATCCAGCTCACCTCCTCTGTATCAAGACCATCTCAGATCATCCCAGCATCCCGGTGCTCTGAGCTCCCTCTTGAGAGCGGTTTGTAAACCTGCCTGGCAACTTTAGAGCCCACAGACCTTGCAACATCTTCCCCGGGGCTGATGCAGGTCTATTGCTCAACCCATGACCTGAGAGAGCTTCCTGCACCAGCTGTCCTCCCCGGAAATTTGGCACAAGCCTCTCTAGGCCCCGGACACAGCCTCCCCCAATCACCTGCAGGAAGCTTTAAATGCACAAATGCCCGAGGACCCACCTTTGGCCCACAAAGCCCTTCCCCTTCCTTTTTGGCAGGTCCCCATTCAGAGATGTCTTCAAATAAGACAAAAGCTTCCTTTAATACAGTGGTTCTCAACCTTCTGGCCCTTTAAATACAGTTTCTCATGTTGTGACCCAACCATAAAATTATTTTCGTTGCTACTTCATAACTGTAATGTTGCTACTGTTATGAACCGTAATGTAAATATCTGATATGCAGGATGGTCTTAGGCGACCCCTGTGAAAGGGTCGTTCGACCCCCAAAGGGGTCGTGGCCCACAGGTTGAGAACCGCTGCTTTAATGCTGCTTAGGGTTGCTTCTGGGAGAGGAAATCCAGTGCACACAACCAAGGACCTGGCTGACAGAAAACTACACAGAATGCCAGGGCCATGGAGCCACAGCAATTCTGCACAGGAACTGTGTGACCCAGTTGCTAGGTTAAAAAAAAAAAAAGCACGAATCTCACCATCATCCTGACCTTGGCCCAGCATCCACCCTGTCCACACAGGACTCACACCAATCTAAGCAGTGAGAGGGGCTTTCCCTCCATCTTCCTCTTGGGCTTTAATTAGAGTAGCAGAACCACAAATGATTGGGGCAGAGCTGGGCGGAGAGCCTCCCCGAGCCCCACTCACATCCCCCAGGAGAGATGGGCCCATGATTCCGGGTTGCTGGGTTACAGGGTGGCTCACCCACAGGGCTTCCCAGAGGAGCCTGATTATAGCTCTGAAGGTTCAATTAAGCCTCTTGAATGTGGAAAGGTCCAACTGAGGTTGGCTGTGCCTGACCATTGTGCAGGGCCACTGTCCCAGCGAGCTCGAACTCCCTGGGAACATGACTCCTCGTAGCAATTCACTCGGTGTGGGAGGCAGCCTCCACGGCCTCGTCCCATCCCCACATCCTCATACGAGCACCATCGCAGAATCTCACTCACCCTAAGACCTGGTCAGGGACCATGGGCCCACATGACCACAGCATTGGGAAGCCAGGCTCACACAACACTTTCAGGAACGGAAAATTATAAATAGCCTTGAGAACAGAGGAGCAAAGGGAAACACAGTGTCTTTCATAAGCTCTGAGATAAACGTTACTACAAATCAGGCCCAACAAAATTCTCAGAGCAAAGATGAGCAGCAGAGGCTGACAGTGGCAACACTCCCTTTGGAAATATTTCCAGGGTACGATGGTGACCAGGACGGATGGTGTAGACGAGTCTTGGCCTCATTGCCCTTCTTTCCACACCAAGCCCTGGGACAGCCCTGGGGTCCTGGCGAGGGCCATGGCACAACACAAGCAGACGGAACCCCCCTGGCCAGGCCCCGCTCTGCAGCCAGCCAAATCCTGGGCTGCAACGTGATCCTCTTTCCCACCAGCTGGTCCACGTTAGGGCTGCCAGGGTCCTGGCCTCAGGAGCAGCGATCTGTTTCCACCACAGGGCCAGACAGAGGACACACTGCAAGCCCTACAAGTTGAAGCTCAGTAAAGGGAACATGGGTTGCTCGGGGCAGGGCCAGGCTCTCAGAGCTCAACTGCAGGTGGCCAGGCCGCAGGGTACAGGATGTGACCTCCTCCAACTGATGGGACATTCCTTAAAGTAGGGAGGGTCCTGTTCAGATATGGTTGGGGCCATTGAGCTGGGGGAGCAAGGGAGGGCTTTGCTTGCTCACTTTTTCCACTCAGGAGCATCTGGGAATGCCCTGTTTGAGGAGCAACACACACAAGACAAAACCTAAAGCCCATCCCCATAGACGAGGAGCAAAGAGAGGATGAGGAGCAGGGTAGGAAGGAGAGTTCTGAGAAATGGACAGAGTGACAGAGGTGGGCTGTTCAGTCACAGGAAGAGCCTGTAAGGTGTTGGGCTCCTGGGAAGGAGGCAGAGGCCTGGCTGCACTGAGGACAGGGGCAGGAAGCTGAGGCTGGGAGGATGCCATGTAGCTGCAGAAGGAAAAGGTTGTGGTTGGTACTGTCTATACGCCTCATGCCTTTGAAATCAGAGCCACAGGCTAATGGCACTCACCTGACCTGGTACCCTGGGGTTTCAGGATGCAAAAGTGCCCTAGGCAAGCTGTGCCCTTAGATCCCCGCCAAAGGGACGGCTGCTGCAGCCAGAAGCCAACAAGGGTCCTACACCCACCATCCCAGGTGTCATTGTTTTTTTCATAGAACAGGCAACGAGCAGAGAAAAGAGAGTTTTGCTTTTGGTTAAAGGTAAATTTTCTGCACATTGGATACAGCTTCATTTTTCTGACTTCCCCAGGGGGACGTTCCTCTCCTGAATGCCACAAGCAGAAGCAAGTCTGAATCTCACTCAGTTCAGCGAATGCTGTGCTGGTGGATGGGACTCTGCCACCTCTTGATTCACTCGTCAGGAGGCCAGGGCCACATCGTAGCTGCTGCCACCCCTCACTGCCCTCCGGCTGCCGGGTCCTGTTGTTGGCCAGTACGAACCCATGGCATCCACAGAGTTAATGCCAGGCTCAGCTGGGCAGGGAGCACTGAGGACTCAGGCCTCCTTTTCCAGGCCAGGGTGAATGGAAGGAGAGGCAGGGGAGGGCCTGCTGCTGGCAGGCCTGCGTCTCTCCGCTCTGGGCCTGTCACATAAAAGGGTTTGTATTCCTGCCACTGGCTCCGGCCCGTCCAGGCTGGGGCTGTTCTCACCGGAAAACAAAAATCTCTTTCAGACCAAAGCAAAATGAGGCCCTGGCTGGCCCGGGAAGGCTGTTAGGCGTTGCTCCCGCTGACCCACCGAGAGCACCATCACTTGGATTCTCACTGGCCCATCATTTCCCAGAGGAGCCGGAGGCTCTGTGGCTTCTGAAGAAAGCACCCGTCAGGTCAGGGCAGTGGGACCAAGAAACGGGATGGCCCCATTCGGATGCGCTGTTGGTTCTGTCCTTTTCAGAAATAAGGCTGGATGGGCCTGGGGTAGCAACCTTTATTTTTATATAAGGAAACTTGGGTAAGTCTCATGGTGGAGAAGGAATTGTGAAAGAAAGTGTGATGTTAAACACGAGGCCTTGCAGTGCACAGAGAGGGCTCTAGGCTGGAGGCCACATGGGTCTTCCGCCTGCCGCGCACAGTGCTGCTGCCACCGGTGCCCTTGCGACGTGGGTGGGGTTTGTGGTAACCCAGAGCCCTGTGTGTGCCATCACCAGCTTCTGGAACACTCCAGAGCTTGGACTCCATCCTCAACAGAGACAGCACGACAAGGTCAAACTTCAATCTTGTTCAGAAATGCTGCCTTGCTGACACCCTGGGTCACCAGGAGCTGTCCATTAACCACAATCTTGAACCCAACAGAGCATGCTACCAAGTTCCGTTAATAGGAGACAGTGACACGGAAGACCATTTAGTCTGAGAGGCAATTTAAGACAAAACCACTTAAGAAGGAATTCTGAACCAACAGGAGGGTCGGTGGACACACCACAGACCTGCAATCCAGGAGAAACGGGCCTCGTCAGCCTCTCCGCCCAAAAAAGTGCCCATCTCTGATGACCAGCCAGTTGCTTCTCTCCTCAGATCTTCCTGTTATTAGTTGGGGCCACACTGTGTGCAGAGAGCTCACGCCCCGGGGAGGAGGAGAAAGGACACTTCAGATGGAAAGGGGGCTTCACAGGTCGCAGGCTTCCCTGCTGTCTGACCTACGGCAAGGATATCAGAGACACATGGACCCAATTCTTCCACCAGCCCACTGGCCAGGGGAAGACACCCGCCCCGCGCCCCCCTCCCCGCCCCCCGCCCACATCCCTTTCCCTCTGCCACCCCAGACAGAGCCGGGCTTTGGGAGACAGCCTGCAGGCAGGGTGGGGGCTGAGGACAGGTGAGTCGAAGGTGTCCCTTGAGAACCACATCCAACCTGCTGGAAGGTACTAAAGTTCACCATTAATACTGCAGTTCCCCAGCCACTAAACAGGGTCCTTGGGTCTAGGTGGCTTCATGCAGCCAAGTTCTAAGGGCCAGAGCACTGCCCCTTCCAAAGTGAAGGGGTCACGCAGGCCTGGATGGGTCCCAGCTGAGTGCCCTTTGTCTGTGCTGATGACTGTCTACCTCTCATTGGACTTTAGGGCCTCGCCATCCCAGCCTCTAGCCACCTTCCTGTCCAGTCTCACTGGCTGGCCCACATCCAACCTTGCTGCTCTCTCTGTCCAAGCTCTGACTGCTTTCTCATCCCCATCTCGGTCAGTGTGTGTGTAGCCTCTAGCTGCCTTGCTGTCCTATCTCTGGTTGACTTCACTGTCCCTCCCAGTGCCCTTCTGCCTACTTGGCAGGATCTGCCAAGGACTGTTTATTGCCACGGCTGGGACAAGGGTTGGTGGTCAGGAGGAGCCCCACAGGGGAATCTTAGACCCAACAATGGAGGCAAAAACAGGACTTTGTCACAGGACCAAATGCTGCTGGGCCCCACCTCCAGGCTGCAGGGTCCTGGGAGTGGGCCAGGCTGCAGGGTCCTGGGAGGAAGGCAGGGTTCCTGGCAGGGTTGATTAGTGCGATCTGTCCCAGAGCTGCTCATTCAACCTGTGCTCTCTCATTCCTCCAATAGCCATCAATCACTAGGTCTGTTCCTGGCCCAACAGGTGCCATCCCAGATTTGCTTATCCCAGGATCTGAAACTGAGATGCTGATTGTTCCCTCACTGGCACCATTCTGGCCTGGCTTCCTGCTCTACAGCCCCAGGAGATAGCTATCTTAGAATGCATGTCTGAATGGGCAGATGGCAAACCGGAAGCCAGCCACACCCAAGTCTCCACAGACACCCCCCAGCAAAATGCTGGGAGTAGCCGTTGCTAAAATAAAGGTGTCTCCAGGAAGAGCAGGTGAATAGACACAGGTGGGACTTCTTGGAATTTGAAATCCTTCAGGCTCTGAGATTACAGATTGGATCTCAAAATAGCTAGCTCAGCTTGGCTCAGAATTTGTCCCAGCCCACTTCCCATCTTCCCACTTCGGCCTGTCACAGGCCCCAAACCTCACATGAATCAGAAGCCACACAAAGGAACTAGGTCTGGGAATGACCACACCGACCATGGGCTCCGAGAGTAGCTGGGCGATGATGGGGAACCACCCCGTGCATGCTGAAGTAACTCCCAGGGTCCAAAGTAGCATCTCACTCACAGTGCTCCCATCCTGGGGTCCAGGGGGGGTTCGGGGGGGGGCTCTGGCCCGGCCAAGGCAGGGGATGGAGTCATCTCACTAGACCATCCAGTGAGCTGCAGACCTTGACTAGGGCCTCCTTTCAGCTCTGCTTGGCCAGAGCTCCCAGCCTACTAGGAGACTGGGAACTTGGAGCTCTAAGGAAACAATAGGATCTTGTCCTCAGAGACACTATGAATGATGAAACCAGTCACCCTGCAGCTGCAGGTTCCATCATTAATTCATTCATCCATCAAACAGCTCCTCCTCTGTCCTGGGTTCTCAGCACTAAGAGTTGTCCAGTGAAGACTGACCTGCCAGGAGTTCACACCTGCTTTCCCCTACTGCTTCTAGCATACGGGCATCGACACCCATCTGGCATAGAGCCTGGCCCTTAGGAGGAGCACACTCAAGGTTTGTTGTTTGTTAATCGACTTGTGGTGAGAAAACAGCTTGTAAAATACATAATCCTATCCTATATAATAAAAGTGTAATATGCAAATCGACCAAACAGCAGAACGGCCAGTCGCTATGACATGCACTAACCACCAGGGAGAAGAAGCTCAATGCAGGAGCTGCCCCCTGGTGGTCAGTGTGCTTGCACATGGGGAGCGCTGCTCAGCCAGAAGCCAGGCTCATGGCTGGTGAATGCAATGGCGATGGTGGGAGCCTCTCCCACCTCTACTGCAGGCGGGCAGTAAGGAGTGAAGGGTCCCAGACTGCAAGAGCCCCAGACTGCAAGAGGGATGTCTGACTGCCAGCTTGGCCTGATTCCACCAGGGATCAAGCCTAAGCAGGCAGGGGGACATCCCCCAAGGGATCCCGGACTGCTACAGGGTGCAGGCTGGGCTGAGGGACCCCCTTCCCCCCATGCACGAATCTCATGCACCAGGCCTCCAGTTATTAAAATAAGCTATTCTCAGGGAACTTCTCATATTAGTCATGTATGCAATTATGCTGATGCACACCGTGTGCCCAGCCCTGGATTGGAGCATAGAGAGGAGACACCTTGGCCCTGCCCTCAAGAAGATCAAAGGGCTAGTGGAGGAGGCCAAAGGCTGTAGTTCAGTGGGATGTGTGCCACCAGGGATGCATACGGCTCATGGGGTGCAGGGACAGTGCCACCTTAGCTGTCCACGTGCCCAGTTTGGGCTGTATGTCCTTGATGCAGTGACAACGCAGAATGAAGTCCATGCTGCCTGGCCTGGCATTCTAGGGCCTGCAGAGACCAGCCCTGGTGAGCTCACTGAGTATGTTCCTCATTCTTATTGCCAATCTTTCCTCACAAGGGTCTGTCTGCCCGGAATGCCTTTTCTTCCCTGTCCTTTCTGGGTAGAAGCCTATACCCCCTTTCAAGAAGGCCTGACTCACGTTATTATAACTTTAGCTAACACTAATGAGTCCTTTCCTATGTGCCAGCCACTCCTCTTGTCACTTCACACCTGTCCTCTCTTGAACCGTCCCCTGTCCAAGGACCGCTCCCTTGCCTGTGCCCACTGACAAGCCTGCTGAAGGGGTTCAGACGCTGTCTGATCATACCTGGTGGCCCCTCCCTGGACTGGGAGTCTGACAGTGGGGTCTGGCTCACAGCTCTTAGGAGCTGCTTCATCAGTGAACCTCCCTGTATCTCCGTGCCTGCTCTATTAAATGGGGGATAACAGTACTGCAGTGTTGTGGGGAAGATGAAAGGAAAGCTTGGGGATGGTAGAACGCAGTGCGTGACACATGGTAGGTGCTCAGGGAAATAGCATGTCTGCAACAACACTTCCCGCGTAAAAAACTCCCCCCACCCATAGTACTTAACTCAGCAAATATCTGAGTGCCTGCCACGTGACAGTGCAGCTTCTAGCATACAAACACCTATACCTTTTGCCACTTTTTGCAAATAAGCCAGAGCTTCGTGCTCACGTATCCTGCTTGCTGTGTGTATGGGACAGCCCTGGGTCCCAACTGCACCTGAGCCAAACTCAGCCTTCTGAAGGTCAACCTCCGAGACCTTATCACAGTGGTTCTCAACCTTGGCTGCACATTAGATTCCCAGGGCTGGTTGAGAACCACTGCCTTATCACAAGGAACAGAAAACTATCCAGAGAGCAGAAATGGCCTGCTCTGCTGCCCCCTGGTGTCAGTGAGCTCTCACTGAACCACCCCGTATCCTACCACAGGCTGGGTAGGATGAGAAGGCGCTGAGGTCAGAATTCTCCCTCTGCAAATCCAGGCTTTCTTTTGGGAGGTATGTTCTCAGCTGTTCTGCTTGGAGTTCCAACACCTATCGAGGTCCTAGCTGCCTTCCTGGGCCCTCTGGCATGGCCCCAGACCTCATACCATCCTCCACCCTTATGGGAGCCCAGGATGGGGGAAGAGCTGATAGGGCTGAGCTGAGCCAGGCTGCGCAAGTCTGCACCTGCCCTGGACACCTACAGCAAGCTGCCTCCACACCAGACTCTGTCACCAGGGCCAGCCCCCAGGGTCACAGTTGAGGCCTCCTACCTTCCCTTTCCTGGAGCTCAGCCTCAAATGGGCCAACCTTGGGCCACATCTCTTTTCATACACATCACGACGGCCTCCCGCTGCTCTCCCAGGCTGCACTCTCCCCTGCTGGCTCAGCCTGGCCACTACAGCTCAATCAAGGGATTCTCTGCCCCTAAACCAGTGGTTCTCAACCTTCTGGCCCTTTAAATACAGTTCCTCATGTTGTGACCCAACCATAACATTATTTTCGTTGCTACTTCATAACTGTAATGTTGCTACTGTTATGAATCGTAATGTAAATATCTGATATGCAGGATGGTCTTAGGCGACCCCTGTGAAAGGATCGTTCTACCACCAAAGGGGTCGCGACCCACGGGTTGAGAACCGCTGCCCTAAATGAAAGCCTCTCCTCCAGAATCCCCCTCCCATCCAGACTCCATCCTCCACCTACAACCTAGGCTCCCCAGTCACGAGGCCCTGAAGACCCACCCCCACCATGGTTCTTACTCCACACCTCTGCTGGCCTAACTTCCTCCACCTGGAGTGTGGCCTCCCTGCCTCTGACAAACACCCCTCAATGCTGCAAAAATCCACTCAGTTGTCACTGCTGGCTGGGCATGTGGTTGAGCAGACTGGACCCTGTACAAGGGCATGGGGCTGCATCAGCCTAGAGAAAGGGGAGCCCTCTTAGAAATACATCCCCTTTACACAATGGTGTCATATAGGCGGGCAGGAGTGTCAGCCCATTGCTCCCACAGTCCTTGGAGTGCTGACTGCACGGAGACCAGGCACAGCATCTGACTCATGCTGGATCTATTTGATCTGTTTCCCTGTTTACTAGTCAACACACAGGTGAAATGTGGGCTGGCTTCCTCGGTGGGAGCAGGACAGATGCAGCCCCCGCTTTCCAGGGCTCAGAGCACATGGTTTCCTCTCCCAGATAGACCATTCCTCCTGTAGGCAGCTCCCCCTACTCTTTTTGTCCATCATTCTCTCCCTTGGCTCCTTAGAGGCAGTCTTGCCTCCCTGGGGCCAGATTGTGGCAAAAAAGCACATAACCCTGCTAAAAGGTGACATCACCTTGGGAGTCTCCTGTTTCTGGCTGGCCAAAGGATCGTGAGAGCTGCAAGGCAGAGTATGTTCTCAGTTGTAGCTTAGGAATCGCCTCTGCCCCCCGAGAAAGGCTGGGGTCCCAGTGAAGTCCCACGCAAAGTGGACACATGATTTGGGAATGTCCCAGTGTGTGTCTGGGCGTTCTAGCCAATGAGTGCACTTGTCTCTTACACCAAGTGTGGCATCTTTGAGGAAATTCCTGTTTGCACTGAGAAGTCTGGCCCCGATAGAGGCAGCTGCCACTTGTGCCAAGAGTCGCCCTGTTTGACCACTCCATGGTCCTGTCCAGTCCCTCCGTGAGGCAGTTTCCCCATTCGGGGAAGCACCTGGCCACTTTGGGAAACGCTCTGAGACCATCACCCAGGCAATAAATGGTGGCTGTTACTAACATCGTCGTTTTTGGTAACTCCTACTCCTTACCCCTGATCCAGCTCCAGCCCTGCCCTTGCCTGTTGGATGAGCACATCAGGCCCCGAGTGGCCCTGCATGGACACTGGCAGACAGAAGGAGCTTAGGGAGAGAAGGGGATTAGAGAGGCCTCCCCGGGTCCCCAGCTCAGGGAGGTGTCCCTGTGGCCAGACTCGGGGCAGTGGGCAGTGGGTGGGAGAAACTTGGCCGCCAACTTTCTAGTTTCAGGCCTAATACCACCAAGCACTTAGCAATGATTGATCAGCTAAAACCTCAGATGGAGCCCCAGTCCTCCAGATACTATCCATGGAACCTTGGGCAAGTCAGTTAATCTCTGAGCCTCAGTAAAAAGCAGAAAGCACCACCAACCTCCTAGGATTTGCTATGAATATTAAATAACATGCAAAGTTTCAGGTAAGAATCCCAAAAGGCAGACTCCCCCGCTTCTTTGGCTCAAAAGGAATCTTTTTACCTCCTCTGAGGCTGCTGTTTGAATGTAAAAATAATAAACACTAACATTCATAGAGCATTTGCTCTGAGTTAGGTCCGGTTTAAGACCAGTTTGAGATTCAAGCATTTCACATACATTATCAGGCTGAATCTGCACAGGAGGGTGATGGGGGTGGGGGTGGGGGGACATTTAGTGAGATAATAGAAGGCTCACAGAGGGCAGGGCTGGTGCAGGCCGCAGAGCTGGTGGGTAAACGGGCCTGTGGGGAGACCCCAGGTGTGAGTGGAGGGGAGGGGGAGGAGTGCTGAGCAGGGATACAGAAGAGGTCCTCACAGCCTCCTGAGAGATTGCAGGGGTGAGGGTCTGCCTCCTGTGAGGGGCGATGGGGACACAGCCCTGGGCAAAGCTGAGGAGCCAAGCGAACCCCGCTTTGCTGAAATCTTGTGCTCTGGCTGAAGGTGGGCAGGGAGGGGTAGTGAGGAGACTCCCTTACTGGGATCAGGAAGCCCCAGGTCAGTCCTGGTTACGTTGCTGACCTGCTGCGGGACCTCCGACCCAAGAGATGGACAAGGAGGCACTATGTCTGTCCCCGGACTTGGCCTTGGGGGACGAGTGGGCTCAAGGCCTAGCCTGGTGGTCCTCGCCATAAGGCGAGGGGACCGCGAGAACTGGAGGGGCGGTGTGGGGTCGCAGAGAGCAAGGCCCCTAATTTCTGCAGACCCACCCAGCTGCTTCCCAAACCCGCCGGGCGCCCGCCAGAATCTGGGGGGTGGCGACCTGGGAGGCCTGGGGGAGGGAGGGCGTGAAGGGGCTGGGGGTAAGGGACAAGGACAGGGCGGGGACTTACCCGCGAACAGCCAGAGAGAGCCCCCCGAGACCAGGAAGAAGGTCAGCATGTCCGTCCGCGGGGCCGGCCTGGCCCGGCACAGCCTCCCTGGCCCACGGCCCCGCAGCTCCGCAGCCCAGCAGCCGCCGCGCCGCCGCCGGGTATTTTTAGCCCCCGCCCCTGCTCCACAGCGCCCCCTCCCGCGCCGCCGCAGCCCGGTCCGCCGGAGGGGAGGGCGCCGCGCGCTGCGCTCGGAGCCCCTCCCTGCCCGCAGCCCGCGGGGGTCTAGGGCGCCCTGGAGTCGCAGGCGCAGCCGAACTGCCGAGGCCCCGGGCGGGGGAGGGCCGCAGTGCCGACTTGCCGTCTCCGCCCCGCTCCTGCCCCCAACGTCAGGGCCCGGCGTTCTGGGGGAACCGGCAGGAGGGGGGCGCATGGGCGACCAGTGCGGGGGCGTGACGCCTCACCACCCCACCAATGCGCGCATCTTACCCCGCGCGAGCCTGGCTTTTCTGGCTGGGCAGGGTCCGGTGGCAGAGGGGTCGCGGTCACCTGTGCTAGGAAGCACACAAGCCTGTGGGCCGGCGCCCGCTGACGCAGACCGGAGGACCCGAATTTGCAGATACCAGGATCCTCTGGGTGTCAAGTCTGCAAGGCAGCGAGGAGAGAGGGGTTGAGGTTCTATCTAGGCTCTAGCAAAGGGGCAGCTAGGCCAGTCCTCACATCTCCCCTATGGGAAGCTTAGATCTGAGGCCACCCAAGGTCAGAGGGGCTTGCATGGAGTCACAGGAAGCCACAGGGAATCACAGGTGTCTCAGAGGACACAAGCAATCATGATCCTTATGCACAATCATATGTACAGCTAGTGAATGGCCACACAGTCATGCCCTACCACAGATGGATACACTGCTGGCTCAAGGGTTGGATACCTTCTGTTTCAGTGTCTGGATTCAAAGGAGGAAGCCCTATTGTACATTATTCGGAATGAAGTGCGGATATTCTGCTGGGCCCTGACCTACACCCGAATTTCAAGGTCACTCCTCCCTACACTCATGTTTGTTTTCAAAACATGCAGGTTCGACCAGGCCTCCAGCACCAAGGACAGTGCTCAGGCAGTCCAAACCTGGCTCTATACTTGCAGTCCTCCCAGCTCAGGCACCAACTTCCTCAGGAAGAAGAGGCCAGGAGGCCAGAGAGTAGAGGTCAGGCAGCAGAGGGTGGAGGAGCCAGCGGTCCCTTCAGACCCACCAGAGACCACCTACCCCGTGTGCATGTGTGCTCACAGCTCAACAGCTGAGGCACGAATTTGTGTAGGGGCCTGTGCCTGCAGTGCCAGTACATGGCATGTGTGTGTGCAGGGCTGTCTGTGTACACCTTGTAGGTGCGAGTATGCAGATGTATACTTATGAGACCCTTCCCGTAATTACAACAGGACCCTCCACCTTCTTCCTCGTCGCAGGGTCTGGACACCTGGGAAAGCTGCTCCTGCTGGATCTCTAACCGTCTGGTCAGGATGTGGATGGAATCCTTCATGTTCCAGGTTTGGCAGGGCTCCTCCAAGAGGGTGTCACATGACTGTCAGAATGCCCCCTCCACACCCACTAGTAGCACATTAACTGAAGACCTGCTGGTGCTCGTGGGGAACCAGAAGAGTGGGCAGAAAGAAAGTATCTCCGCAGACTAGATTGGAATAGAGAGGTGGGCAGACAATTTCTCCATAGGCCAGGATCCAGCAAAGCATTTCTTCACAGAACAGGGGGCCCAGGAGACAAGCAGCAAGCCGCAGGCCCAGGCCTCCTCTGTAGCACTCAGCCGTAGAACTGCTCCAGGCCCTTGCATGGCTCCTGGCAGCCGCCTCTCTAGAGTGATGTCATGGGACACATTTAGTCTGGCCTCCTGCAGAACGGTGCATCCAGTTACTCTTCCTCAGATGTCTCTGCTACTTGTAAATATTTTAATTCAAAAACCTGTGCTGGAGCTATGACAGACTACAGTTTAACTGAGTATTTCTGTTTTCCTCTGACATTGGCTTGTCTGATTTGAAGGATGGGGACAGGACAGCCCTGGGTCTGGCTGTGGATCATGGCCAGGTATCTCTCCTCTCTAGGCCTGTTACCACCAGTGTAAGGGGACTTGTTTTTTCCTTTCCTGGGCTCCGGAGGTCTCCTTCCTCTCTGTGGGTCTCCATCTATAGAGCAGGCCTGGGCAGTGGTGATGTGAAGCTTCCAGACTGCATGAGTATGGCAGCCATGGAACTCAGCAGGAGGGAACCCAGGGCCCAGAGAAATGGAGGCTAGGCTGGAGGGTCCTTGAACTTCTTAATAAGGTCAGCCACAGTAGTGGCGTCTGTTTTCACACCTATATCCTCCCAGATCAGCACTTCTGAGAGGGTGGGCAGGCTGATCCTGACCATGTTTTCAGTCCTAGCACAGGGTCTGGCCCAGAGAATTCAGAGAACACTATTCCATTCAACAGAGTTGTAGACTGAAGTCCAGAGAGGAGAGCATCTGCCTCAGGTCACCAGCAGTTCTAGCCTCCAGACTCCCTTTCATTCACTCATTCACCTGAAGGGATTCAGAACAGACTTCCTCAAGATGTGCCGCTTAGGCCCGGGCCAGGTGGCTCCATCAGTTGAAATGTCGTCCTGTACACCAAAAAGTTGTGGATTCAATCCTGGTCAGGGCATATACTAGTACCTACGTTGTGGGTTCGTTCCCTGGTCAGGGTGTGTACGGGAGGCAATGATCAATGTTTCTCTCTCACATCAATGTTTTTTCCTTTCCCTGTCCCTTCCTCTCTCCAAAAAATAAGTAAATAAATACAAGATGTGTGTGCCACTATGGCATGTAAATTTTTTTTGAGCTGAAGCCATTGGAGACCCTGCAGGCTCACAAGAAACTTACCTCTCCCTTAAAGAATTTAAATTAAGGGCCTTGCCCATGATAAGAGTTATTACCAGAAGTACTTCTTATGACCTATTTTATGGCAGGGAAAACTTCTAATGACTAAACATCTGCTCTTCTTATCACTCTGCAAAGACCTTCTTCCCCTCTGAAGCCCCAAGGCACTTGACCTCCTCCTTAGCTCAGAATGTCACATATATCTCATTTTAACTTCCTGTTCCTCAACCTCTGATGTATGTGGGGTTCCAATGAAATTTGGTCATTTTCTCTTATTAATCTGTCTTATATTGTTTTAATGATTAGACCAGCTGGAATAACCTAGAGGGATAGGAATAAGTTTCTTCCGTCCCCAAACACTCATTAAGCTAAAGCTAGGATGTGGGGAGACAAAAAGAAAGCAGAAGTAACAGCAACCCAGGATGGACACACATTTGATCCAAGCCTAACCCAAAGACCTCCTGGAGGGAGAAATATTCAAGTGGGCCAAGGAAACCACTCCCAGCCCTGGCTCTGATTCTGTAATGCTGTGCAACCCTTGCCTCTTTCTATGTTCACTGGTACAAGTTAGGGCTGATCTAGGGGCTTCTGGGTGTAAGGACTAACTTGCTGTGACTCTGCTGCCTCTTTTTCACCACAAGTGACCACCCTCTGGTTGATGAGGCCCAGTATCCAGTCTGCTAGTGGCCCTAAGAGCCAGCCAAGGACGGCCTCAGCCGCTCTGGGCTCAGGTCTCCTGCAGTTAGGGCACCTGGGCCATGCTTCTCTAACAGTGGTGAAGCCTCTGTTATTTGAGCTTGCCTACATTTTTTAACCCTCTCCTATATTTTGATCGTTTCCCACATTGAAAGTATCTTCTTCCCAAGGTAAAACCCAGAAAACTCTCTTTTCCAGCCTCCCTTGCAGGGAGGAGTGGATAAGTAACTTATACAGTACCAATGAGATACAGCCCCATAAGCCTTTGATTCCAAAGTCAGCGATGAGCAGAAGAAAGTCCTGCAAGTGGTCTCCATCTTGCTGATACAAGACTGGTAGCAGAAGCTATGAATAGCGGATGGTTTGGGGAGTTGTTCCTAGAAACCAAGATTTGACCCTGTTTTGGAACCCTCCCAACAATACTGTGGAACTACCTAACATTCTTTTATATGATCATTTTCTGCTTAAAATAGTCAATATGGATTTTGTTTGCAACCAAGAACTCAGACTGACCTACTCATGATCCCACTGCTAACAGTCTTTCCAGCCCTCAAGAGGATGTGAATATGGGCAGAGCACACAGCATGCTGCTCTCCCATCCTATCACTGCCACACGGGGAGATGGAAGCTCTGGCCGGTGTGCCTAGGTGAGCTGAGCCAGGCCTTTGTTTCTCTTTACTCTGACAACCACCAATCTGGAGAGCTGAGCCAAGAACTTGAAACACTATCAGAGCAGTCTTTGAATATATGATGAAATGGTTGAAGAGTTATAAGCAAATGTTCAACCCATGTCTTTTATTGAATAGTAGTGTCTCCCACCCACGATTAATAAAACTATTCAATGTAGAAATGTTTAAAAATACAGAAAAAAGCCCTAACTGGTTTGGCTCAGTGGATAGAGTGTCAGCCTGCGGACTGAAGGGTCCCAGGTTTGATTCCGGTCAAGGGCATGTACCTTGGTTGCGGGCACATCCCCAGTGGGGGGTGTGCAGGAGGCAGCTGATCGATGTTTCTCTACCATGGATGTTTCTAACTCTCTATTCCTCTCCCTTCCTCTCTGTGAAAAAATCAATAAAATATATTTTTTTAAAAAATACAGAAAAATATAAACTAAAATCACTTCAACAACAACAACTAAAATCACTTGTAATTTCATTCCCCAAGGATAAAGGCCAGTGCAATTTTGTGTGTTTCCTAATAATAATACAAAACATTTATATAGTGTTTAGTGTGTGCCAGGCATTATTTCTGGCATTTTACATATGTGCTATGGACTGAATTGTCTTCTCCTCATTCATATGTTGAAGACCTAACTCTCAATGTGATTATATTTGGAGACAGGGTCTTAAGGAGGCAATTAAGGTTAAATGAGCTCCTGTGAGTGGAGTCCTAATCCAAGAGGACTGGTGTCATCATAAAAAGAGACAGAGACGCTAGGGAGTGCATGCACACAGAGCAGAGGCCACGTGAGGACATAGCAAGAAGATGGCTATCTGCAAGCCAAAGAGAGAGGCCTCAGCAGAAACCAACACTGCCAATCCTTTATCTTCAGACTTCCA